GTCCATCAGTGGCTTCGCTCTGCCATCTCTGATTCACAACAACCAACCTCTCCTATAGGTTTCCTATTTTTGAAACTTCCGCCACCGCCTTGTGCGGTACTACTGGGAATAATAATAATAATCGAATGAAGTTTAGAAGTCAAGTTTCCGACCATATGGACAGATGAAAAGCAGAGATGGGAAGAGTCAGAGAGAAGAGAAGAGAAGAAGAAAGAGAAAGAGTCAGAAGAAAGAAGATCCAGGTGCGCGAAAAGGTAGGAATGGCTCCGGAGCGTCGAAAAGTAGGCTCGCTAAAGCGGCGGGTGCGGAGCCATCTGGCAAGATGAGTCATGAGAGATGAAAAATTGCACGCCGTTGTGGCACGAAGCACATTTCCAAGTCAAAATGTACAAAACACCTCAGCTTCGGACCACTTTTGGAAGTTGCGATGTCGAAAAAGTGCACGCCGTTTTGGCGCGAAGCACATTTCGAAGTCAACATGTACAAAACACACCATTGTCGCACCACTTTTGGAAGTTGAGATGTCGAAAAAATGTACGCCGTTGTGGCGCAAAGCACATTTCGAAGTCAAAATGTTAAAAACACCAGGGGTTCGGACCACTTTTGGACGCTCAGATGTCGTTCCGCGTGGCAGGCGCAAGGGATTCCGCACGTTGCCAAAAGTGAACAAAACGTGAGGGTTTTGTACCATTTCAAAAAACGATGGCAAGCGTGGGACATTTGAAGAGGATCTGGGAAGATGCATTTTCCGTGGCAGGCGCAGTACAAGAGACATGTTCATCAGAGCTGTTAGGAGGTCCGGGCGCTGATTTCCTTTTTTTTCGTGGCAGGCGCAGTAGTTTAGACAGGTGGAATCGAAAAATCGCAAAACGCATTGGTACGAGGCCGTCAGCTCTGCACTCAACTTTCCATGTTTGAAGGAAGTCTCGCAGAATTGCTTCGTTTTTGATGTTGTCAATTTTAAAAAATGAGGAAATCTCGCAGACTTGCTTCGTTTTTGACGTTGTCAAGTGCCAAAAATTAAAGAAGTCTCGCTGAATTGCTGCGTTTTTGACGTTGTCAAGTTCAAAAACTGAGGAAGTCTCGCAGAATAGCTTCGTTTTCAAGCTTGCAGATAGACAGGTAGATAAACAGACAGACAGACAGACAGACAGACAACCAGCCAGGCAGGCAGGCAGGCAGACAGACAGACAGAGAGAGATAGAGAGAGAGAGATAGAGAGAGAGATAGAGAGATAGAGAGAGAGAGAGAGATAGAGAGAGATAGAGAGATAGAGAGATAGAGAGATAGAGAGATAGAGAGATATAGAGATATAGAGAGAGAGAGACATAGATAGATAGATTAGATTAGATTAGATTAGATTAGATAGATAGATAGATAGATTAGATAGATGAGATAGATTAGATAGATTAGATAGATTAGATAGATTAGATAGATTAGATAGATTAGATAGATTAGATAGATTAGATAGATTAGATTGATTAGATTGATTAGATAGATAAGATAGATAAGATAGATTAGATAGATTAGATAGATTAGATAGATTAGATAGATAAGATAGATAAGATAGATAAGATAGATAAGATAGATAAGATAGATAAGATAGAGAGGATAGATGGATGGATGGATGGATGGATGGATGGATGGATAGATAGATAGATAGATAGATAGATAGATAGATAGATAGATAGATAGATAGATAGGTAGATAGATAGGTAGATAGATAGGTAGATAGATAGGTAGATAGATAGATAGATACATGGATAGATAGGTAATTAGATGAAAGAGAGGAAGAGAGATACATAGATAGATCGGTAGACAGATAGATAGATCGATAGATCGATAGATAGATCGATCGATCGATCGATCGATAGATAGATAGATCGATCGATAGATAGATCGATAGATAGACAGATAGGTAGATAGATAGGTACATAGACAGATAGACAGATAGATAGACAGACAGATAGATAGGTTGGTTGATTGATAGATAGATAGATTGATAGATAGATAGATAGAGGTAGATAGATAGGTAGGTAGGTAGATAGTCAGAGAAAGAGAGAGAAAGAGACAGGAAGAGAGATAAAGAGAGAGAAAGAGAGAGAAAGAGAGGAGACCTCAACCACCTTTGGGTCCATCAGTGGCTTCGCTCTGCCATCCGTGATTCACAACAAACAACCTTTCCTATAGGCTTCCTATTTCGGAAACTTCCGCCGCCTCCTTGTGTGGTACTACTTTTAATAATAAGAATAGTAATTTTAATAATAATAATAATGATAATAGTAATAATAATAACAGTAGGAAACATCATCATCATCATCATCGTCATCGTCATCGTCATCCTCATCCTCATCCTCATCATCATCATCATTATCATCATCATCATCCCCATCCCCCTGATTCTCGGTAGGATTTGAAAAAACTAACAAGATGTATACTGGTGCCACGTGGGGCTGTCCAAAATCCTGGGCATTGGAATGAACAACACACAGGACACCCGCCTTGTACGTCACCTTGTTGTCTCTTCCAACCTTTGTCCCCGTACACTCCATGCGAAAGAAGACTTTCTGCAGAAACTGTTCGTTCTGACGCAGGAGTCAAGTGTCATAGATCGGCCATGTTCCCACTTGCAATATTTGACTTTGCCATGGAAATGTTCCCATTGGCAGATGCTTGAACTATTCAGCTTTGGGGCTTTCCATTGCCTGATTGGATTTGAGAAGGGTATCTTACCACCAAGTCTTGTTGCTCACAATCTCCAAGTCTAGTTGCAAAGTGTTGTAAGTTTCATTCCCAACTTTCTTGCTCCAATAGTTTCTTAAAGTCAAATCCCAAGTTTGGTTGCTCACTGCGGATCCCTCCACAAAGCCCAGTCCGACAGTCTGTCGGTGATGTTCTCTTCGCCTAGGAGGGGGTGGGGTGCCCTTTGGCCAAATGCGGTCATTCATTGGGTTGGTTCACAGTAAGGGAAAAATGGGCGGAAAAGCGGAAACCGTCTTTTTCTTTCGGGGAAAACAAACGGACTTCAGAAATTTGCGGTTATAGGTTAACGGTCATCCCCATGTTATCCGCACCCATGAGTGATAATAAGAAGGGAGGCTAAAGTAACCCGGCTCCGCAAAAGTCAAAACCACAATCGCAAAAAAAAAGGCAAAAACCTTTAGCCTTTGTGAAGAGTTGCTTGCGCGAAAGCTCGCGAAAGACTGTTTCAGGAAACATGAATCATGGCACATTTGCAAGTCATGGGTTGGACACGTCAAAGCTATCATTTAGCCATTTGAACGCCCAAAATCATGGATCTAAGATGATCTAAGTATCGTCTGAAGTAAGTGGGTATGAATTCTGGGGATAAGTACCTTCTCTTCCTTCTCAGGATGTATATTTTTGGATCCATAAGGTCAGATTGTCAGCAAATGTCCAGGATGTGACCCAAAAATCCTCGAAAGCTTCGCGCAAGCTCTGCAAGAGCCCCAACTAGCTGGAACCCCCCCTAAGAGTGGTCAGCGAATGGCTAGCAAGCAGGTCTTTCATGAATTTCAAGTAGTTTTGTGCAAAGCTACTACTGATAATCCTCGTCCCCGGTTTCGTCCCCCAAATCAGTGTTAAAAACTTCAACCACGCGTTACGACAATTTTAACTCCAGCACAACAACTGCCGGTGAAAGAATGTTTGGGAACAAGCGGAACAAACTTTATATTGTACTTCAGGACAGAAGCCACGGGTTTCGTTTCAGGAGTTTTCTGCGAAAGCTCACGAGACACGTGGATGCCGCGAGAGAAAGACCCCACACTGCCAAAGTTTCACGAAATGGATGGCGAAAGAGAAGAGCGAATGGAATCAATGAAAAGTTTTGGCAATGGCTCTTTAAAACATCACTTCAGAGCCAGATCCAGCGCTTTGATATACAACTTACCCATGTCTTTCCCCAAGTCAGACCGTCAGGACCGGGACGCTTTGGTTCCTCAAATGTCTGAAGGTCTTGCCCGCCCAGGTGATCATGTCATCTCTCTTGGTCAGGTACCAGTTCTCTTCCATACCTTAAAAAAAGACACGGCTGCTGGAAACAAGGAATTCACCATCTTTTGCTGCGAAAATCGTTGGAAAACCCTTGTTTCTTTATGTATATAGTCAGGGACACCCAGTAAGCAGGAACCAGTCAAGCCAAAGTAGTAAGCAGGAGGGTACTTTCGGGGTTTATACAAGGTCCTGCTCTGAGCCCAGAGCTGCTTACTGCCCTGCTCAAACCACAGCGAGGTTTCCTGCTTACTGCGTGGCCCCTACTTTTTTTGTGGGGAAGGGGCTCGGTAGAAAGCAGATTTTCTCCCCCCGCATCATCTTGAGATCAACTCTACTGTACCTCTGTTTGGGGTTTTGTCCAAAAACATGGTGCACCACGTCTAAACCTACTGCTTAATCAGCATTTGTTCCTGTAAATATTGGTATTTTGGGACACATATACCCCTACTTTCACACACGCACACACACACAGTGTTTGGAAATCGAAAAATGTATACAGAGAGGGAGCGGTAGTCAATCAGATTGTGGGAGGCCAGTCCTGGGGCAGACCCTTTGTGCCCGCCTCAAACTAACTTTTTCTGGTCTAAAAAGTAACAAGAGATAGATCAGCCAGAAGCGGTTCTGCCATCTTTTCCTTTTAATTTCCCTTATTGCTGACAGAAACCTTGAACCGAACTTCCTCAAATTTCATGTCATTTGTGTCCGCTTGACTTGCTGACCTGCTAACAAACCATTTGGGTCAATAACCCCAAACCAGACCAGCCACATCTAGATGACCTAGCTGCAGTAAGCAGATTCCTGGAATCTGCTTACTGGGGGCGCATGTCGTAATGCACATGTTGACCCAGGATTCATCAACTGCCAACTGCCCTCAAGGGTAAAGCAACATGTTTTTGCAAAGAAATTTTCCAACAATCTATTTAAATGCCTTGTTTTTCATCTTTCCTTGCCCCAAGAGAGTGTCGGCCCCCCAAACAGTTTGCGAAGCAAAAATGAAACCCACTCAGACCCATATCTGTTTGGAATATGCAAATTTGACCTAGCTGCAGTAAGCAGATTCCTGGAATCTGCTTACTGGGGGTGCGTGTCGTAATGTACATGTTGACCCAGGATTCATCAACTGCCAACTGCCCACAAGGGTAAAGCAACCTTTTTTTGCAAAGAAAATTTCCAACAATCTATTTAAATGCCTTGTTTTTCATCTTTCCTTGCCCCAAGAGAGTGTCGGCCCCCCAACCAGTTAGCGAAGCACACCTGAGACCCACTCAGACCCATATCTTTTTGGAATATGCCACTGGGCTTAGTATTTGGTCAGATTGTGGGAGGTCAGCAATCCCGGGGCAAACCCTTTGTGACCACCTCAAATCACTTTTTCTGGTGTCAAAAAGTGGCAGGAAATCAGGATTTTTTCTGGATTTTCCTGTTTTTTGTACCTTAGTCTTATCGGAAAATGTACCCCAAGGAATAGCCTTTGCACCTAGATTGTCCATTTTACATATTTCCCTGATATTTTTTGATTGTTGAATATTTATATAGAGTTACTTTTTTGAACATATACCATCCCTGGAGCAACTTCAGACATGTTTGCTTAAAATGTTAGCCTGGAAGAGGCGAGGGTCAACACTTCACCGAAGGGAACTGTAGCAAGCAGATTCTGAAATTATCTTTGGTGCCTATTTTCATATAGCTGCTTACTACAGGTGTTTATGCTCAGGTCTTACTTAGGTGATTTCTTATTTGCCTGATTTTGGCCTCCGGCAAATGTAGTAAGCAGATTAGTCTCTGCTTTCAGGCCGTCCCCGACTATAAGATATATAAGTTCATATATAATGTGTTTCTATTGGACAAAATATGATATCCTATGATATACCCTCTGGTAAACAAACATAGCTAGTGAAAATGGCCATTTATAGTTGAATTACCCATGAAAAATGGTGATTTTGCATCGTTATGTTAGTTTACCAGAGGGTATCATTGATAAATCATCATTCATAGATGAAGATCTTCATGGATTAAATTCGAGCACCGGCAACAAAATAAACGAGTCTTCTGTGTCCAAGTTTTTGAGCCCATCCGCGCACAACGGAAGTTGATTCATCTGGTGTCACTGAATAGATTATAGATCATTGCATATCATTACTATTACAGATGGATAATCCCAGGTTTTTGGTGAATTGCCATCTCTTTTTTCGATCATTATAAAACCTTGCGACGTTTTTTGCCATATTTTCTGGCATCCCAGTCCCAGTCGTGACATCCCACTTAAGCCAGGCAACTGCTCTTGTTTAAGCAAAGGTAAAGGAAGGCCGAGAGGTCGGCATTCTTGTAGATCTTGCCTCGTGTCGCCATCCCCGCAGGGATTCCACCATGCTGTAGCAATCGTCGGTGACCGGGGCAAAGGCCCACTAAATACGTAGCTGAAGCATCGACATGGAAATCAAGAACTGAGTGGTCTGAAAATCGGGTATCCCAACTTTTGACAAATAATAGATCATACACATAAAAAAAATGTTCGCATGCCAATCTTTCGTCGTTGAATCCATATGTATGTATCTAAACACATATATAACATATATAACACATTGTGCATCCTTGAATCAGCTTGAATCACGCTTTTTCAGAGCTCCATCCAGAGTGACCTCAAACCCAAGTGGCTCATGCGCACTGGTGCGCTCCAATATCTCCTGTTGCGTTTTAGGCTTGGGAGGTGTACTAAGGTTGGCGGTTGTCTCCCACCATATGAAACAAATGGGGGTTAACTGCCGGTTTAACTACCAATAGAGGCTGTAAAAAAAAAATAATTGATGCAGTTGATGTTGACATTTTCTTATGTTTACAGCAATACGGTTTCACCATCATTGAATATGTGATATGTGTTTCATTGTCGAAAGATTTAAACAGTATCGACAACATCATGCAAATTTTCGATGCGATCGGCTGGCCTAAAGTCTAAGATTCCGTGGGAGAAGATGTTTTCCTCCATAATCTATGGCTCAAAAAAGTATTGAAGAGTAATCCATTCCCCAGTCAATTTCCTGAGGATTTTTCCATGATGCTGCTGTGGCTCATCTTGGAAAAAGTATCCCAAAACCTCATGGTCAAAGAGCAAACCTGGTGAAAATATGTGAAAATCTCTGATTTCAAGGGTTTCAATCATGTGACTGCCACTTTCTCCATCCTGTGCCCCCCAAGCCGCGGTCTTCCACGAGCCAGCTTGGTTTTTGATGAGGCCAGGTTTGAAGAACCGCGCCATTGCGCCGGGCAAGAATCGCTCCTGGAGATGTGGGTTTCCCAAAAATCAGTGTGTGAAACCCAATAGTAACCATCCCCAAAAAAGGTTTACTTTGGGTTTACCGGGACCACATCAGCAACCATGGATCTACACTGGCCTCCTTCTTGGCAACGCGATGCGGCACGCGAATCCTCGGTACAAGACCCAGGCCTTTCGGAGAATGTGCAATTCTCTACATGTCTATGTATGTGTATATAATATTGTGTATATGTGTGTGTGTATATATATATATAGTGTGTACATCTGTGTATCATAGATAAAGATATATATTATAAAGTACATATATATATATATATATATATTATACACACCTGGTTTTTTCCCCAGCATCATCCCAAAAAATCGTCCATTCATCAAGAAGCGGGAGCCAATCATAAACGCCTTCCAACGCGTTCAGCCGTTGATAATCTACCTCTTGCAATTCCAACTTCTGAACCTGGCAGCCACGCAGCGATGGTAAAAAAGGGACCAATGGCATATGTGCCATGGTCAAAACATGCAGGGATATGTAGAGAATACATAATCATATCGAGGGAAAAACATGGAGAAACAACAGAAAGAATGGATATCAAGTTTTTTTGTCATGGGATGTGTAATCTAAAATTGAGATATAACTAACCTCCATCATTTGGGACGTGGCATCCCACAACTATGGTGAAATATACCCATTTACAACCCCAATATCCCAACTTCGCCCCAAGTGTGGTGAAGTTACATCAATGGGCTATGGGAGTTGGAAAGTTGCAGGGTTAAACGCCCACGGTCCACACCTTCGCCTTGACCATGAGCTTTTCAATATTTTTGTCGGGATCAAATGATACGCTGAGTTCCTGCATTGTTCCGCTTACAAGTTGCCACTGTTTCGCTGAAAATCACTGAGAATCTGATTGCCAAATCACGAGTGACGGTGGGTGCTTCGTAACACAACATGCCAAACATTTTGCAAAGATTGCGACAAGTACAACGGCAACAACATCAACACCACCACCACCACCACCACCACCACCAACCAACCAACCAACCAACCAACCAACCAACCAACCAACCAACCAACCAACCAACCAACCAACCAACCAACCAACCAACCAACAACAACAACAACCACCACCACCAACAACAACAACAACCACCATCACCACCACCAACAACAACCAACAACCAACAACCACAACCAACAACAACAACAACAACCATAAAACAACCAACAACCAACAACCACAATGCTAAACAACCAGCAAACAAACCAACCAAAACACAACAAAAACAAAAATCAAACAAACAAAACAAAAACAAAAAAACAAACAAACAAACAAACAACAACCCACAACAACCCACAACAACCCACAACAACCCACAACAACCCACAACAATCCACAACAACCCGCAACAACCCGCAACAACCCGCAACAACCCACAACAACCCACAACAACCCACGACAACCCACAACAACCCACGACAACCCACGACAACCCACAACAACCCACAACAACCCACAACAACCCACAACAACCCACAACAACCCACAACAACCCACAACAACCGCAACAACCACTACCACAACGACCACAACCACGATCACAATCACGATCACAATCACGACCATGCATGACCGCGACCACAACGATGACGACAACGGCGACAACGGCAACAATCACGACAATTGCAACAGCAACAACAACAACAACAAAAACAACAAAAACAACAACAACAACAACAACGACCACCACCACCACCACCACGCCGACGACGACGACGACGACAACGACGACGACGACGACGACGACGATCACGACCACAATGACCACGACCACGACGACCACGACGACCATAACGACCAGGACGACCACTACGACCACGAGTTCCACGACTACCACAACCACAACCAAAAAAACAAGCAAATAACAACTAATCCCGACCTTTCTCAACTGCGCCAGCTTGTGCCGTTGTATTGCCAATTCTGTTCGAAAAGCCTTGGTGCCCAGGCAGCATTTGATCCTTCTCTGTGTCAAGTCAGCTGTTTGCTTAGCTCGCCCTGCCACGCGTCGATCTCGAGGCTAAAGAAAATCATGGGATAAGCATACACAGTAACTAGTTTAATTTCGCTATTAATGTTACTAAAATAAATATATATATATATATAAATAATGTGTAAATGTGTGTGTGTGTAAATATGTGTATGTAAATATATATATATATTTATTTATTTATTTACTTATTTATTTAAATACCACGGTGCCATAATGTGTCTATATATAAATATATAATATTATATATAGTATATATATAATATAATATATAGTGTGTATATATATGAAAATATCTGATGCTCATGGCTTTTGAAGGTTCCAAGTCGAGGATTGCCATGTCGGGGTGCCGGTCTGGGAAAGTGCACCACCCGTGCTTCGCATCCACAGAATTCCTGGCGAATTTCAATCACCGAAACTGGATCGGGATGTTCATTCCCATACCCTCTGATGTTATCAAACATGGAGCAAACTGATTCCAAATCCAGAGATATCCAAATATCCAAGAAAAAGATGCCCATGACATGTCTGTGATACTTTTTGACCGCCGATTTAAAACAAGCCCACCTGCCTAGACCTAGCCATCAGAGAAGAAGGGCTATAACATCATATACATCCCCGTTTAGTTCGATAATGTTCCCTTTGAAATGCCCATTCCATTCGGGGATTTTCCAGCCAGCCATGTTTGACATGCGGAGGGTATATGGTCGAAATCCAACACCTCATCCCCACAAACTTGGGCGCACCATATTTTTAGGGACCAATTTATCTGATCCATTTTTCTCGGATCTTCATGGGAAATTATTGGATTTTGCGGGCTTTTTAAATGGAAAACTATCATCAATATGAGAAAGATTGATTAACCTTGGTTGATCTATTCCGGGGTAATAGGAATAGCGGCTAAGGCACCGAATTCCCCCACGAAACAGCCTAGGGTGTGTGTGTGTGTGTGTCTGTGTCTGTGTGTGTGTGTGTCTGTGTCTGTGTGTGTGTGTGTCTGTGTGTGTGTGTGTGTGTCTGTGTGTGTGTGTGTGTGTGTGTGTGTGTGTGTGTGTGGTGTGTGTGCTGTGTTTGTGTGTGTCGGTGTGTGTGTGTGTGTCTGTGGGGGTGTGTGTCTGTGTGCTGTGTGCTGTGTTCTGTGTGTCTTTGTGTTGTGTGTGGCTGTGTGTGTTGTGTTCTGTGTGTGTTGTCTGTGTGTGTGTGTGTCTGTGTGTGTGTGTGTGTCTGTGTTGTGTGTCTGTGTCGGTGTGTGTGTGTGTCTGTGTCTGTGGTCTGTGTCGTGTTTCTGTGTGTGTGTGTGTCTTTGTCTGGTTTCGTGTGTTGTGGTGTGTGTGGTCTGTGGGGTCGTGTGGTGTTGTGTGTCTGTGTGTCTCTGTGTCTGTGTGTGTCTGTGTGTCTGCGTGTCTGTGTGCCTGCGTGTCTGTGTGTGTGTATGTCAGTATGTCAGTATGTCAGTATGTCTGTGTGTCTGTGTGTCTGTGTGTCTGTGTGTCTGTGTATGTATGTCTGTATGTCTGTTGTGTCTGTGTGTCTTTGTGTCTGTGTGTCTGTGTGTCTGTGTGTGTCTGTGTGTCTGTGTGTCTGTGTGTCTGTGTGTCTGTGTGTCTGTGTGTCTGTGTGTCTGTTTGTCTGTGTTTCTGTGTGTCTGTTTGTCTGTGTGTCTGTATGTCGGTGTGCTGTGTGTCTGTGTGTCCTTGTGTGTGTGTGTGTGGTGGTGTCTGTTTTGTGTTTGTTGTGTGTTGTGGTTCTGTGTGTTTGTGTGTGGTGTCTGGTGTCTGTGTGTCTGTGTGTCTGTGTGTCTTGTGTGTGTGTGTGGTGGTCGTGTGTGTTTGTTGTGTCTGTGTGTGTGTGTCTGTTGTGTGGTGTGTCTGTGTGTGTGTGTGGTCGGTGTGGGTGTGTGTCTGTGTCTGTGTTCTGTGTGCTGTTTCTGTGTGTCCTGTTGGTCTGTGTGTCCTTGTGGTGTGTGTGTGTGTTCTTGTGTGTGTGTGGTCCTGTGGTTGTCTGTGTTCCTGGGTGTCTGTGTGTTCCGTGTGTCTGTGTGTCGTGTGTGTGTTGTCGTGTGTGTTGTGTGTTGTGTGTTGTGTGTTGTGTGTTGTGTGTTGTGTGTTGTGTGTTGTGTGTTGTGTGTTGTCGTGTGTCGTGTTGTCGTGTTGTCGTGTTGTGTCGTGTTGTGTCGTGTTGTGTCGTGTGTCGTGTGTCGTGTGTCGTGTGTCTTGTGTCTTGTGTGTCTGTGTGTGTGTGTCTGTGTGTGTGTGTGTGTCTGTGGTGTTGTGTTCCTTGTGTCTGTGTGTCTGTGTGGTCTGGTGTGTCTGTGTGCGGTGTGTGTGTGTGTGTGTGTGTGTGTGTGTGTGTGTGTGTGTGTGTGTGTGTGTGTGTGTGTGTGTGTGTGTGTGTGTGTGTGTGTGTGTGTGTGTTTTTCCTACCCCATTAACACCTTGTTGTGTCAGCAGGCGAGCTCGGCAACAGTTTAACTGTCGGCCACCAAACGCTGCGAATTTGGACGTCCGTCGCAGGTTGGTGGTCTTACCACACTAATATCCCTTAGGATTACAGTTGAAGAAATAGGTGAAAAATCAGGAAACCCTCAACAGGTGGTTGTTAGTTGAGCCTGATGCACCTATAGAGTAAAGTATGCAAAAGTGAGAAGAAAATGCTCTCAGCCGCTGCTATCTGCTGGAGGCACCCGCTGCTGACAGCCGCACCATTCAGCGTAGGAAGAGCAAAGCAGCGCAGCGCAAAAGAAGAAGTTCCAATGCCAGCTAGCCAGTGCCATCCGAAGGAGCGCAGCAGCTTGAGTGCATGCAAGTGACTTGAAGTTCGATTCCATGAGTCCTGTATGCCCCTAGCACTGCTAAAAATACCAGAAAGCACGGAAGCCCAAGTTCACCATCTTGAGCTCAGCAATGGATTTCGGGTGCTGGGAATGGTTCTGAAAGCAGCACCTTCTGTTTCCATCGTCCTGGCATTTCGTGCAGTGGATCTGACAAACCAGAGCAAAACACAATTTCGTCTGACCACTTCGGGTAAAATTGGAACTCTGTCTGGAATACATCCATCCTCATACAATAGCCATTGGCCTTTGTGTCTGAGGCCCGCTCGATAGTGG